GTGTGTGTGTGTGTGTGTGTGTGTGTGTGTGTGTGTGTGTGTGTGTGCATGGCTGCCAAAACTCCAAAAACAGGTCAAGTAGCTCTGGGGAGGCCAGTCATAAATTAGAACACTTGCTAAGCAACCTGCCATTTAGTGAGGACCACTTGTATTTGGTTTGCCAGTCACCAGACCATGCCCACCCAGTCACGTGACCAGCAAGCCACACCCACCCAGTCATGTGACCTGTGGGCCATGCCCTCAAATTAGGCCACACCCACAAAAATTTGAATCCTGCCCCTGAGTGGGGGGCACTGAGGATGAGTTTGTAGCACCAAGGGAGCAGTGGACTGAAAAAGTTTGGGAACCACTGATTTACATGATAACTGGTAGTACTGACAATCTTTTTCTGATAAAATATAGGCATTATAATATGCTCAGAAGAACTTCAACCAAATATGTAGTATATAGCAGTGGTTGCTAACCAGTGGGCCAGGGACCACTGGTGGTCTGTGAGAAAATTTTGGTGGTCTGCAGAGAAATGTCACTCCCAAAGCACCCTGCAAAGCAATTAATCCAGGCTGAGCAAAAACACAAGGCTGCACCACCTACATGGCCAGAGGGAATGCAAGGCTTGTGTCACTTGCATTGCGAACAACATGAGGTAGGAGAGGGGGGACCCCACACGCCTTGCCTAGCCACCGGGCTGCTTCTTTCCACTTCTTTCTTCTGCTTTTGGCTGCACGCAAGGAAAGCAGCAAAAGTCTTTCTTTCCCTCCCCCAAACTCTGCCAGAAATGAGTCTTTGGAACCCTGCAACACATTCTGCTCCAAGAGGCTGCACCAGCGCAACAAGTCTCACAAAGACTTATTTCTGGCAGAGTTTGGGGGACAGAAAGAAAGACTTCTGCTGCTACTGCTGCTTTCCTTGCATGAAGCCAAAAGTCTCTCTCTCTTTCTCTTTCTCTCTCTCTCCCCCTGAGAATGGAGCTGGAGACGGTATCCTGCGATCCCAAATAAAGAATGATCGATTGTTAGGAAAACAGGGTGGGGAATTTTCCTGCAGACTTTTGGGGGGATTTTCCCAGGGTCTCTGGTACGCGGGATTTAAAATTATGAGTTTGATGGTCCCTGAGGTCCAAAAGGTTGGTGATCTCTGGTATATAGTATGTCAGACAGTGGGAATAATGTAACAAGGCTACATTGCAAATTTAGGTTGCAGATTACATAAATTAAAAAAATATTCAATTTTATTTTATAAATTCTGTGATATACCAATAACTACAAGATGAAAATTACATACCAAACGTAATTAGTTTGATGGCCCGTGAAATGTTATATTCTTTCCCCTGATATATATGTTTAGCTCTGCATATATAAATTCCTTCATCTTCCTTAGTTACATTATTAATGAGAAGATGTTCTCCAGAACTGCTAAATTTCCAGTCTTCATATAAATGCAAATGGCATCCCTGAAACAAAAATAAGCAAATATTATAAGAATAGTTAATACCAAGCTAAACTCTTTTATAAAATACATACCAAAAAAAACAAAAAAAGTATAACCAAAAAAAAAAATTAAATCAGTCCATTCCAGATCTGCAAGCTAAAGAAAATTTATCTACAGGACTAGTGAGCTGCAAGTAAATGCAAATTAGGAACCAAAAGACTCTTGATATTTCTCAGGATAATCGCATGTATTTATTGATTTGATTTGTGTACTACTCATCTCATCTAGAAGCAAATCTGGTAAACATTAAAATGATAATCATAATCACATGCTACACCTCAAATGTCACCTTAATTGATGACTATAACAGCAGTGTCAAATGCTGTGTACCAAGAGTAATAATCTTTTTATAAATATTTAATGTAACAATATCAGCTGGAGAAAAGTATTTGTAGGGAACTATGAAGATTTTGAAATAAGGAAAAATTTTCTGATGGTGAGAACGATTAATCGATATAGTAGCTTGTCTCCCAGAGCTGTGGCGGTTTCATCACTGTAGGTTTTCAAAAATAGTCTGGACAGCCATTTTGACTGGGATAGTATAAGGTTCCTGCCTTGAGCAGGGGGCTGGATCAGAAGACCTCTGAAGTCCTTTCCAGCCCTATGATTCTATGTTCTATATTCTGATGGAGACAAAGGAATGTAACAGGTAGCATATTTGAGATAAAATTGGAAACAATTTATGTTTACAAGTGATACCAGCCTGTTCTCAGAGCGTGATTGTAGCAGGTTGAATAGTTAAGCCCAGCTTTTGTTATATATCTATTAATTTGAAAACTGGAGGGACAATAGCTGAGAAAGGTAAGCAGTGAGACAATGTTAACCAAAATAACTCACAGCTAAAAATGAAGATGAATGGATAAAATATTTGTTCCAAAAGGCAATAACAACCCAATAAATGTTCCAAAGGAATAGCAATAGCTAAAACATTAAAACTTGAACCACTGGTGATGTTACCTCATTGTGTAATGAAATGTCTGAAATAAAACAGCTAAGCTCAGAGATCACCAAGGACCCCACAATAAAACAGATTTAAAGTTATTACAAATAACTCAAGGTGGTGAACATATTCAGCACGCCTTCCTCCTCCTATTTCTTACGTGAAGACACCAACTAATTATAGAAAGACGGATAACTTATGAGAGAATAAGAAGGATACTGGGAAAGAAGTGAAAGCTAAGGAAAATGAAACATTTGTAATCTTCTTAGCCAAAGAAGAATAAAAAAGAAAAACCCAATGTCTTTATATCAGCATTGCAAAGACTTGAAAGCATATTTGAGGTTCATGTTGGAATTCCTCTCAAAAACTGTTAATTGAAGCCACGCAAAAACAATCTGGCTTCTAAACAATATTTAAGATTCTCATTGTATAACAGAAACTGTTGTGGCTCCGATTCCCAAGCCTGTGCTGCTAGAGGAACAGGACTTGGAAGATGAGGAGGAGGAACTGGAAATGCCTTCCTCCCCAGGACCTTCCTCTCTGGCAATGCCTTCCTCCCTGATAATGCCTCAGGTTTCATCAGACAACCGAGAGGAACAACCTGAGATTAATCAGGAGGAAGGCATATCGGAGCAGCCGCTGACAGGGAGTCAAGAGGAAGAATGTTGGCTTGATCCTAGGCAGCGTCGTAGGGAGAAACGTGAGCAGCAACGTAGGAGGCGTGGGAGGGTCAGAGAGTGAGCTGAGTCATTGAGCCACACCCCACAGGGGATAAAAGTGGGTGTGTTGTCGGCTGGAACTTTGTACCGGACAAACTTTGATCTTACTTCAGGTTTTCTTTGGGAATGATTTTTGTGGTCTCCCTTGTAATTTCCTGTAAGTAGCTTTTTAGTTGTTATCAGTTCGGACTTAGCAGACAGAGCGTGTTGGAATGCAAGGACGTTATCAGTTCCAAAGAATTAACTCTGTGAAGTCCAAGCCAGCCTGCCTGCCTGTGTTTGTGTGAGTTTGTACTCTTTCACCTTTTGGGAAAGAAGAAAGGTGAGACAGAACAGGAAACAAAGTTTGGAGCTGCAATCAATACAATTTTGCCTGAAAAATACATCAAAGATGAAGTGTCAGTATGATAAAAGGCCACAGGAGGGCCACAGATTCTTGATATGACTTGAAGTCAAAGACAACGTCATCATATAAAAGGTGGAGGAAGAAATTAGGTAATCTGTACAGTGGGCTTAATACTGACTCATGGGGGAAAATATTTTGGATATGGAAGTTTCAGGGACCTTCTAAGAGAATGGCTGTGTCATCTTGGAATTTTCCTACTATATTACATATCATAAGCAGAGTAACATAAAGGCAATCAGATTAGGGTTCTGAGTTCAAAAGAACTTATTCCAATAGGCTGAGGGAAAGCATTTGAAAGATTCTATGGATAGAAATCCTGAATTGTAAAAGTTGTAAAAAAAATCCTGACTTGAAAAATGCTGAAATATGAAACAATAAACAAGCATCCAAACACACACAGTATCAGAGGAGAAGAAAAAGGAAAGGCACCAATGAAAACAATGAACTATTAGATAGAGATTTCTTCATCGGAAATATTTGTTTATATATTTTTCTTGTTAAATAAGGATGAGAAATTTTATAGCTATTTACAGATCCATTTTTGTACTAATTTTTATTGTTATTGTTGAATGTATATATTTTTTTCTGTTTTGTATTTTAATCCCATTGATAAAACATAATAAATATATACATGAAAAAAGAACTATCCAATGAACTGAGAAGCAAAAGGGGCAAGTCTTTAGAAAATTTTAAGGAGATCCTTATAGTAAAAGGAATATATACATATAAATAATCAGTGTACGTAAGAATGACTTTGGAAAGCCAAAACTCAGAATGACCTAAGGTTTGCAGTGAACACCATAGTTAACAAAAAAGGTTCTTTGGTTATGCATGTAGTAAGAGGAATTTCAAGCAAAGAGCTGGTCCAAAAGTTGTAGAACATGACAAGATAGTGATGTGCAAAACGGAAAAAGTAAACTGCTTAATTGTTATTTTGCTTCTGCCTTTATGGAAAAGGACTTACCTTATACCATTGTAAAGCAAAAGGAGCATTTTCAGCATTTCTGAAATTTTGAAGATCTGGACAAGTCAGCTTCCCATTATATTCTAATGGAATTTTCTGTTCAAAAACCATTCCTTTATTAAAACACAATCCAACGCTGTTCTCAAACACTATTAGGGATTTATTAACTCTTGTGGAGTTACTGAAATAAAAATGGCATTAGTACTTCAGTTATTATATAATATACACATCCATAAAGAGAGTGACTGGCATCAAATTATCATTTAATATTTAGGAAAAAAAAATAATTATATCAATTAACAGTTGGATACACTTCTAAAAATATGAGCAGATCTTGGACCAAGATACATTAAAGCATAGATTAACAACTTTTTCTACCAATTCAATTTCTTATATTTAATTTCTAATTTCAGGAATATATTTTTTTCAGGAAAAATATGTGAGCAAATGAATAATAAAGAGAACCAATGAAGTTCTATTGTTACAAAAATTTAGCTAGAAATAAGACTCCAATTATTCAAAAGTGTTTACTCTCATTTAAGCATTAAACTCTTATAAAAGCATGGACTATGATTAGAAGTTAAAAATCTTCTACCAAGCATTGTTTGAACTCAAATTCTATAATATTAAAGCTAAAAATTAGTACCAATAAACACGGTCAAAATATTAATTTTACATTTTCTTCTCATTATCCTTTCCTTTTCCAAATGCTAGATCCAATGTAAAGTACTACTGTAATTATAATGTTAGAGTACAATCAAGTTATGTCTCTGCTTGTTGTTGGAATTCATGGGAAATTTTAAGGGAAGTCATGGTTTTATCACTTGGATTAATCTCTGGTTTAGAATTGTTCTTACGGTGTGCGTCCTTGTCTCCCACAGATAATGTGAAATATACAGGTAGTCCTTGACTTATGACCACAATTGAGCCCAATGGTTCCATTGTATGGCCTTTCTTGTTAAGTGAATCACTGCAGTTGTTAAGTTAGTAACACAATTATTGAATCCAGCTTCCCCATTGACTTTGCTTGTCAGAAGATCGCAAAAGGTAACTCATGGACCAGGGACACTGCAACCATCATAAATACATGCCAGTTGCCAAGCAATCAAATTTTGAACATATGATCATGGAGATGCTGCAACTGTCAAAAGTGTGAAATATAGTCATAAGTCACTTTTTCAGTGCCATTGTAACTTTGAATGGTCATTAAATGTGAATTATTGTAAGTTGGGACGACCCTCAAAGGCAATGAATAAAGAATGAATAAATAAACTGACTTACTAAATGCATCGATACATTCCAGAATCTTCTAGTTTTGCAGGATAAAACCAAAGCAAGTTTGCTTGCTGAAAAACCCGGGAGGAGTTATCTGTAGTTATAGGCATCTCAATATCTTTTCTATACCAAGTCACAACATGGTTAGATTGGCTACCTGATAGACAAGAGACAGTTCCTGGCTCTCCTTTAGCGGATAAACTAACAATGGCCTCCTCACCTAACAAATAAATAAATATATATTACTATTCGTGCAACTATAAATATGCATTAGTATTTGTATAATAGTGATTACAGTAGTATAACTGCCATATATATAGATTATCTATCTATTTGAAATGTGTAAACAGATCTACAATTATGACAAATGTTTCTCAAATATTCCAGATTTGAGTTATTCATCTGGCTACAAAGGGAATAATTTGTTTACCAAAATAAAATTAAACTACACAATTAAACAAGTAACACTTTTAAAAGAACAATCATTGAATTGCTATGCAACATTCTCTTCTACTGTTTCTCACATAATTTCAAATATTTCTACAATGTATGATGCTATGAGTGTTTAGGATTATTTAGCTCATAGGAGGAGCTATGCTATCATGGCACAACAATGGAAATTTAAAAGCAGGCCATTCTTTCAGCCCCATTATCTTCAGATAAACAACAGCATATCTGATTTTGTCAATCAGAAGCTCCTGACAAAAACAGAAGAAGATGAAGATGAAACTAGCCCTTCCATCTTATCCACAGGGAAAACATTTTTAATTAGGTGTATGCCTACACACATAATGTTATTTGTCTGATTCAAATATTTTTGTTTTTAATTTATTGTTATTTAAATGGCAATTATTGGAGAAAAATGGATATAAATTAAATACATGCATGAAAAATGGGCCATTATACCAGCAAGAGCAAAAATATGCTACTTATTTAAATGTGAAAAATGTATTCAAAGTATTTAAAGAATAAATGTCTTTTAACAATTAATTATTATAAGAGCATCTTCTTAGTCTTTCCTAGTTTTGTTTAAATAATGAATTCAGGAAAAGCAAACCTGCATCTTATTTTAAATACAGAAGAAACTCAAAATGAGACATGGAGCTTTAAACTTCCTCTCATGCACTGATTTTCAATTGTACATCTCTGTTCTTATATTGCCAGAATAACCACACTTCATGAGACATGAACGGTGGGTGTGCATGTGAAAGTGAAAATAAACAATCCATATAGGAGACTGGTTAACTGTTGGGAAAAACCCAAATGTTATTATGTGACACTCCCTGTGATATAAGACAGAAAGAAATATGGTATACTTACAACAGCTGAAAGAAAAATGAAGGAGGTAAATCCAAGAAGTAAGCCACAGTGCAGAAAACATCTAAAGAAATGAAAATATATTTTAACGTGTGATACGGGCAGATACATTCTATTACTTTATATGCTGAAAAAAGGTTTAATGCTTTTTAATATATCCAAACACAAATCTATTTGGAGTCCACAACTTAATATAAAATAAAAAATAAAAAGTAATCTGAAATTTAAAATAATGAAATCAGTTAAGCACAAATTCCAAGAATGTAAAGCCTTTCTTTTCCCAGCCTCTCAAATCTGCTGACTACTAATGACCTGAAAAAAACTTCTTGGATGAGTAGTGAAACATCTTCAAGGAAAAATAAAGTCAAGTTGCCTTTTGAAAAAGGACCTTTGGGGCAACCATGACTGACCTGAATGACTGAGAATCTCCATACACAACTGTACTAATGAATTTGGTGGCACAGCTTAATATCATTTTGAGATAGGAAGCACCTAATACCTCTGGTGAAGTTCCTAAAATAGGTTTACCATAGTTTTGAAGCAGAAGAAAAAACTAATCCCTCAGAAGTTCAAGAAGATTTTAGTCAATGCAATATTACATTATGTGTTCCATCTGTTTTACATCACTAATTGCCCATAGCATCAGTTCTCTGCAACTTGTATCCATCAAATTAGCAAAAAGGAGACTTTCCAATATAATATTTGAAGAAGCATTGCTTTCAATTAATTACTGCATCATACCGTGTTTCTCCAACAATACAGCCCCCCTAATGGGAAGTCCAGCATGTTTTCTAGGCATAAAATAAAATTAAGCCCCTTTCCCCAAATTTAGGCCTATTTTAAAACATGAGAAATGGGGGGAAGAGTGGGAGGGGACTTGCCATTAGAAGTGCCCCGCGGGCAGCCATGCCTCGCCACCAGCCGCTCCTAACAGCCTATCACGGTGGAGCTCTCCCTACCCCTGCCAAGCATCTTTGCTACAGACCTGGGTAAGCGGGCGGGCGGCAGTGGCGTGGATGTCTGCTGACAGCGTTTCAGCCACTTCTCGGGCCTCCATAGCTTCCACAGTTCCTGCTGGTGCCTCTCTTGCCAGCACCGTCTCCAACAGCGTCTGAGTCGCTCTCGCTTTTCCCCCCCATCCCTGTCCCCACAACAACAGGGAAAAAACAATTTGAGGTACCTGGGAGCGCTGCGTGGTGTGTTTTCGTTTAATCCCAAGTGGCTGGTTGGGCATGAGAAGAGCTGAGCGAGCATCTCTGCCACTGCTACCCTTGGTGCTCCAGCATCGGGCTCTGCAAGTTTCCAAAAGTCCTGGTACACAGCCCATTCCTGCATTCCAAGCATGCCCAGGCCGAGCTGCAGCTGTCCCTCTCTTGCCAGCGTTGTCTCCAACAGTGGCAACATCCATGCTACCACTGCCTGCCCGCTGACCCAGGTCTGCAGCAAAGGCGCTTGGCAGGGGTAGGGAGAGCTCCACCGTGATAGGCTGTTAGGAGTGGCTGGTGGCGAGGCATGACTGCCCACAGGGTGCTCTAGGCGAGAGTGCGCAGGGGGGGTGAGAAACTAATTCACTCAAAAAAAAAGAAGACCCAGCCTTATTATATGAGAAACACGGTATTCAGCACATGCAACAAAATAAGAGCATCATAGACTTATTTGCACATTCACAAGAAAAAGTAATACTACAAGTTAGTTGGCCATAAAGTGTTTAGGGCTTTGAAGATTGTATCTGTGCTAAATGAAGGTGTCCCAGTAATGGGAAAGTTCAAACCAAATAACTACTTTTCATGTCACAGCCTAACCTACTTTACAGGACTAAGAAGACAAAATGCAGCCAAACTAGATAAATAGCCATTTGCAAAAGTCAATGTAAACTCTATACTACTACATCGTTATCAGTATTTGCACTCAGAATCTGGGAGATCATGGAGATCTCTCATAAAAACAGTCCATGAAGTTCTTTCTCAATAAATAGTAGTGAAACTTTTTATTAAACCAACATCTGTTAGGAAAAACATTCTGTCGAACATAGACCTTTAAGGAACTTTCTGCCTTTTTTTTTGAATAACAAGTTTCTTCTTCAGAAAAAGACACAAGAAGATTAGGAGAAAGTGAATATGTAACATTGGAATTTTCAATAGAAATAAAAATTAAAATGTTGGTTGAAAGTGTGTTAATGAATTCAATGTAGTAATAAACAGAACTGTAAGATGGGAGAAGCTAATGAGAAAAGGCAGGTGTGTAGAAGATACCAAAATGAGGGTCAATAAAAGCACAACTGAAAACTAGTGATTCTTGTATTGAGTACTTCTGTGCCTTATTGGCTTTCATATTACATTTGTTTCCAAACTCTGAAATTACTTATATTCTGTCAGAGTTTGTGAACTTTTGAAAAAACAAGGTCTTACAAAAATGGTACACAAAAATGAATAAACAATATATGGTGAACATGAAACAATTTATTGTATCTTTTAATCTTCTAGATGAGAATCTCAAAAGCTAATCAGTTGGATGAAAAATTACAAATACAGAATTAATAATAGTAGAAAAAATAAAACAACAAGCTTGATCTATTGATTAAGGCATCAGGCCAGAAATCAGGACTTCTAGTTCTGCCTTAACCATGGAAGCTGACTGGGTGACAGTCACTCTCTTAACCCAACTCATCTTATAGGAATGTGGGGAAATAGTAGGTTTGCTGCTTTATTTATATAAATAATATAGGGAATGAAAAAAAATCTAAAACACAAACATGGAAAAGAAATAGTTGCTATATTCATATGCAAGACTCAAATACTATCATAGTGAAAGAGATTATGAATGGGAGAAAATATTTTTAAAAATCTAAGTGCTGGACTAAAACTATAATAAAGTTTTTGCTACTTTTGGAGAAACTCAAGGCAAAACTGAGTATATCTGTCTTTTTTCTGTTATATTTACACATTTGTGTTTTGCCACCACTGTTGAACAGCTGGTATAACATTTCCAATATTTAGTGTTAGCGTATTTAAAGAAGTTCTTTCAACATTCTTGTACCATCTCTAGATTTCCAGGTTATTTCTGTGTCTTCTTCCTTTGTTCTTTTCCTACTACCTCATTACTTTTTTTGTACAGATACTTGTGATGTCATCATTATCATTGATGTCCTCTAGACCAAATAAGATGGCGTTTGGATGTTTCCGTTCATGCTCAACAGTTTCTTTGATGAGGATTGGGATATCATTATTTGTCTGGCTTATGTTTTTTTGTGGATTGGGTTGTGGTTGTTGGGTAGAGATGTGGTTTGTAGCTATTGGATGTTCAGGTTTTTGCGTTGTGTCTTTTTTTTTCAAGGTTGGATAATCTTTCTTTTAAGGCATCCAGGGATGCTGCTATGGTGTCAAGGGATGTTATTCGTGTTTCTATGGTATCAACTCTTTCAAACAGATCCAGTTTGGGTCTGCATGATTTGCAGAGATATGGAAACTCATTGGATGATTCTAGGTATTGAATCATTTGCTCGGGTAATCCCAAGCAGTCATGATGAGCGTATTTGTTACATAGAGAACATTTGATGGAGTTTTCATTATCCTTTAGAGTTTTGTAGCATTTAAGACATGTGCAGGAGTCTTGTGGTTCATTGGTGGGAATTACTTTCTCTTTAGGTTGTGGTTTGGCATTGGATTTTTTTTCTTGGCATGGTAGGTTTGTTAAGATGGTACGTTGATTAAATTAATTAACGGAACAATTTTGGGTAATCAATATAGCCAATATCACACCAATCAATCAATTGCAGTAATCTCTCTAGTCAAATAATTTTCCTAAGCAACAATCAGTCTAATCAATTAATTACACTAATCGCTGATCAATTAATTACACTAATCATTAATCACACTGTTCAATTAAATTCACTAAATCACTGATTTTACTAATCAATTAAATTACATGAATCTTGATCTTTTAAACTAATCAGTAATCATACTATTTGCGCTAAACACTCTAATCACACTAATCAATTAAAGCAATAAATCAGTTAAACCATTAATGAAATGTTTTATAGAAATTGATTATCTAATCATTGATATAGGTGATGAGGTACAAAAGTTGTAAGTTTTGAGGTAATGAATTAATCAGTGTTTGATTAAAGTAATGAGGTGGTATTGAGAGTCTGCAAGGAAAGGGTTAATTGTTTTACTAGCAGCTGTGATTTACTGGGTGGGAGGAATTTATTGCTCTGATTGCTGCTGCTATTATTCTGTAAACAATAGGCTGTAACAAGCACACTGGATTTTTGAAAGAGAGCAAAACTTGCTGAATTAAAACACTTTAACTACAATCAATATGTCTCTGAATAAGATTGTTTTCCAATAGTTTCCTAAAGTTCTTCAAGTTGAGTAGTAAAAATACAGTCCAGAAATTTGGGTTAACCAATCCAATCTTTCCTTTACTTTTAAAGTTACTTCTAGTTGCAATATCTTTTTTTTAAAAACTAAATCTGACAGTCACTCCAGATCGTTAATCGCAGCTATTTTCCTCCTTTGAGTCCCACTTTCCAAGGAAAATTCCACTGCAGAAATTGGAGTGATTCTTACCAAGACTAAGCACGCTGTTACAAGATCTTTCCTTTCTTTTTCACTTCTGTCTCAGCTGCCTTCCTGGCTTCGATTCAGCCATGCTGGCAGTTCTCGTTTTAGTTCGGATGGAGAGGTTTTCTTCGGGTCAGTCGAGGAGACTCTCCTCTCCTCGCGACCACCGAAGCATTCCTCTGCCTTTACCACCCGTCCAGGGTGACTTTCGGCTCCTAAGAGCCTCAGGGCTTTCTCCTCCCTCCTTGTTTCTCCCTGCCAGCTGTCCAATGTGGCTCCGGGGAAACTGTGTGGGGGATATTAATGGAAACATGTTGTCTGGCATGGAAGATACTTCTATCAGCTGTGTGAGGGATTTAAATGAAGGTACATTGTTTGCACTCCGCTGGCTCCAAGTTCAAGAGCTCCACCAGTGTGGTTAATAGGGCTCGATGAAAAGAGCTTCACTTCTCTGGGGAAGGAGAGGAGGGCTCCGGATCAGCTAGCAGGAGCTCCGCCAGCATTATTAGGGTTCCACGGCTTCAGAATCCAGCATTTTTGGGCTTGTTTGGGGGTGCTCTGATTTACTCATGGTTACTGGGGTAGGCGGCAGCTGTAAAAGTGATTTCTGGTGCAGGTGGTGGCTTTATAGGGAGATAGTGCTCCAGGAGCGAGAGCCTCACCTTCCTAGTTGGGCGCTGCTATATTTCAAAGTTTTTTGAAACAATTGGCTAAGTTCAGAAAATGTGCTACTATGACATACACTTACTATGATGGTAGCATAGCAAACTAAGCTAAAACACATACTGTAGATCATATGTAGATAATAGTTCATATTATTCTTCAAGATTTGCAGAGGCAGAGCAAAATGCAATCATATTTGCTTTGAGTATCTGTACTTTCTGGTCACTATTCTGATTTTCATTAATTCTATACATGATACCCTTCAGGCAAGAACATCAGGATATTTTCTGTTAATTGTCAGTTCTTGTTAATTAATTGTAAACTTGTTAACTGTTAATAACTGGCCTTATTGACCAATTAATGGAATGACTGCATTTTTCAACAAGAAGTGATAAGAAAATACCTACTACTACACTTGTATTGGAAAGCACTTACCAAGGCATTTCTGGGTTCTAAGGATTGGCTGGTGACATCACAATTTCCCAGAGGACACCCAAGTGGGTTCCTTCCATGTCCTTGTTATTCTTCCCCACCAAGGTGATACTTATTTGTCTACTTGCACTTGCATGCTTTTGAACTACTATGACAGTAGGAGCTGGGACAAATTGATGGGAGCTCATTCAGTTATCTGGCTTGCATTCACAGTTTTCAAACTGCCAAATTGCCAACCCCTCATGGTCTTCTGTCTCAATGTCCTAGTCATGTCAGCTACTGTACCCACTAAGAAAATAACTTACTGGTCGTTTACAATCTATCCCCCACTTTATACTCTCTATATATTACAAACACAATGCAAACAGTTGGATGGAAGCAAGATGATAAATAACTCCAAAAATTAGACAGAAAGGAAAGCATAGCTGAATCTTAGAACATAAACTCCTTGGATATAACATCTCAGAAAGGCCAAGAAGTGTGTTTGTGAATATTTAAATATTTGATTTGTGTGAATATGGCAGGTTTATGGTTACAAAAAGGTTTTACTGGCATCATCAAGGCCACTCTTAAGTTCTGAATCAGAGAGATATATTGGTGATAGGTACACTGGGGGGAGGATTGTTATATGGCAGCCACACTCTACTCATATGGTACAATTATAGCCTTAAAATTTAAAAATTGGAATACACAAATTCTCTTGGCCTGATGCACATTTGGCCTTTAGTGGTATGCTGAAGGAGAAATCTGCAAAATAAGCAGAGCTAAGAGAAATACTAATAATTAAATCTAATTAAACATTTACATTATATTAAGTCAATCTCCTTCATATAAACAAAATGATGCCTCTACACATTGACATCACAAGATGGAGTTTGCTGTATTATTGCTAAAAAAAGGTATAGGAACCCAACTGCAGCATCAAAAGCATGGCTAGGTGCTGATTGTGGAACAGATCATGAACTGTTCGAGAAGGAGAAGGAGGGAGGGGGAAAGGAAGAGAAGAAGGTATTGTACAACAGAGATGTCAAGATCTAAGATATCCTAGACGCTATTCCCCATTTACAAAAACTTCTAGTACTAGAAGATGATGTTAGATCAACACATTGGTCATTACAAAGTCACAAGGCTACAAGAGTTGATGCAATCAACAGAAGAGGAATCCATAAAATTTCTAACTAAGTAACACAATGGCCAACCAACTGAAAGAATTAAATCAGTATTTCAATACCATAAAAAGAGAGGTAACCGAGTGTACAAACACTCATGTGCAATATCCTTAATTACACATGCTAACAAAATAGTGCTTAGGATAACACAAATTAAAGTCCTACAAGGAAAAAGAGACATCATATACTCCAACTGGTTTTAGAAAAGACTGAGGTATATGAAATATTGCTCATATATGCTAGATCATTGAGAAAGCCAATGAATACTAAAAAAAAGTCACTATATACTTCAATTATTAGAGAAAGGATTTTGATTGTATTGCTGATGGCAAATTGTGGAATGTTCTTAGAAAAATGGGAATCCCAGAACAACTTATTATGCTTGTAAGAAAATTATATACAGGCCAAGAAGGTATAGTGCAGACATAATACAGTGAAACACATTGGGACTATATTGGCAAACAAGTATGACAATGTTGAATATTTTTTCCCATTTTTATTCAATCTATATGTTGAATATACACTGCTCAAAAAAATAAAGGGAACACAAAAATAAGACATCCTAGATCTGAATGAATGAAATATTCTTATTAAATACTTTGTTCATTACATAGTTGAATGTGCTGACAACAAAATCACACAAAAGTTGTCAATGGAAATCAAATTTAGCAACCCATGGAGGTCTGGATTTGGAGTTACACTCAAAATTAAAGTGGGAAAAAACACTACAGGCTGATCCAACTTTGATGTAATGTCCTTAAAACAAGTCAAAATGAGGCTCAGTAGTGTGTGTGGCCTCCACGTGCCTGTATGACCTCCCTACAACACCTGGACATGCTCCTGATGAGGTGGTGGATGTTCTCCTGAGGGATCTCCTCCCACACCTGGACTAAAGCATCCCCCAACTCCTGGACAGTCTGTGGTACAATGTGGCGTTGGTAGATGTAGCGAGGCATGATGTCCCAGATCTGGTCTGGGGAATGGGCAGGCCAGTCCATAGCATCAATGCCTTCATCTTGCAGGAACTGCTGACACACTCCAGCCACATGAGGTCTAGCATTGTCTTGCATTAGGAGGAACCCAGGGCCAACCGCACCAGCGTATGGTCTCATGAGGAGTCTGAGGATCTCATCTCGGTAATGGCAGTCAGGCTACCTCTGGCGAGCACATGGAGGGCTGTGCAGCCCCCTAAAGAAATGCCACCCCACACCATTACTGACCCACTGCCAAACCGGTCATGCTGGAGGATGTTGCAGGCAGCAGAATGTTCTCCATGGCATCTCCAGACCCGTGGCCTATCTCCTGGTAGCACCTACATGCTCTGGACACTACACTGACAGACACAGCAAACCTTCTTGTCACAGTTCGCATTGAGGTGCCCTCCTGGATGAGCTGCACTACTGAGGAACCCACTTGTGTGGGTTGTAGACTCTGTTTCATGCTACCACTAGAGTGAAAGCACCGCCAGCATTCAAAAGTGACCAAACCATCAGCCAGAAAGCATAGGAACTGAAAAGTGGTCTGTGGTCACCACCTGCAGAACCACTCCTTTATTGGGGATGTCTTGCTAACTGCTTATGCTTTCCACCTGTTGTCTATTCCATTTGCACAGCATGTGAAATTGATTGTCCATCAGTGTTGCTACCTAAGTGGACAATTTGATTTCACAGAAGTATGATTGACTTGGAGTTACATTATGTTGTTTAAGTGTTCCCTTTATTTTTTTGAGCAGTGTATATTATGGGAAGCTGAATTTGAAGAAGATAAACATAGTTTTAAAACTGAGAGAAGAAACATCAATAACCTACCCAATGTTGATGACTGTACCCTGATAGCCATATAAATAAATAAACAAACAAACAAATAAAACCTTCCCAAGGCAAGGTTTCAAAACCAGGTATTAGGTACCACTTTTTAAAATCCAATTATGTTCTCTATACACCTTTCAATTATTAATCAGTCTTTGATTACAATCAAGTATTTCATTCTTGACATAGGAATAAACATTAAATGTCAGTCAATAAACTATCACAATCTCAGACTGGAGATATGGAATTTCTATCCTGGGCAACTGCCTGAAAAATAAAAATATGGTATTTATTGGCTTTACTAATAATAGATTTAGGTTTCACTTCTACGAGGCATACATATTTCTAAAAATCATCCATTAACAATGCAACCCTTGGCTTTTCTAGGGTACAGTATTCCAAACTAAGAATAGTTTCTTCCATCTTCAGTTAGTTATTTTTTCTCACCCCATTTGCCTTTTATCAGACAAACGAGGAATAATTTCTCCTTTTCAACATGCTAAACATTTCAACATTTTTATACAACTCCAGATTGCACTTTTTGAACTCAAAGCCACACGTCATATTGGAAAAAAAAAAAAGGTGTAAATGATTCTCTTTCTACAAATACTTCGGCCAATTTTATGAGGACTCTGTATCATGAGGTAGAATTAGTCAACATTTCGCATTCCCCTTTCCCAGTTTTTGACCAGAAAGAAACAATTGAAGGAAAATACCCTGGATTTGTCGGGCTGTGATTTTTGGCAACGCAGAAGTTACTCTTCGACTGTCTGGAAGTACTCTGTAAAAGCAAAATCAACAAGCCCTATTTACACTCATGCCAGATCAAAGCTTCAGCCAAGCAGACTTTAACCATGAAAGCAAGAAATCAATGAGTCGAGTATGTCCGGTAGGAAATACCCAAGAATAAAGCAGTTATTCTACACTTTTTAAAAATGATGGTCAGATGTATTGAATCCTCCTTCGAAGAGCCGGAGGTGGAACTGGAAATGTGCCCTGTGGAGCACGTCGGGTGCCTCTGCCTGCCAAGGCTTCACAGGAATGCGACGAAGGAGCCTTTGGCGGAGAAGCAAAAGGCAGGAGGTGAAGGCAGGCAAGTCGCTCCAGCCGGTCGCTTGACAGGTCCGAGCGAGAGAAGGGGAGAGGTGCCGGCATCCACAAGACCAGTCATTCCCTTTCGGTGGGGGGAAGTGGGGGAGGAATTCTCCGCCGCGAGTCCCTCTCTTCCTTCGAGCTGAAGAAAGGTCTCGGGACCGACATTGCTCCGCGCTTTCCCCCACCAAACACCTCGGCCAAACGATCCGCTGGCGCCCGAAATGGCACCCCGCTCTCCCCCAAAACGTCCTAACTGCCCCCCGCCATCTTCCCGGCCTTACCCGGACACCAGCGCGCAAGCAGAGCGAGCCTCTTCACCTGGGCTACCCCAGGCGGGCACTTTTCCTGCCTCGCCTCAGGCAGGAGAGCCGTGAGGAAAGTTCCGCCCCCGGAATTATCTCAGCCTCGCTCCGGCCGGCTTGATCGCGGGGAGAGGCAGGGGCGGGGATGGTGGTGGAGGGAGTTCAGGACAGAAGCCTCCGCGATCGGCGGAGATCCAGAGCTCTCGGAGGCGGAGAGGCTGGAGGACGAAGGCAGCGATGCCGGAGCTTGGGACCCGCCTCTTAAGAGGCGATCCAGGCTCAAATTCTCTGCCCCTCCCAGATGTGATTTTGGAGAAACTTGTCAAAGCAGGACCGGGCCGTCGTTTGAAACGAGTACAGTATGCTTTTAATCTCCCATCTTCGTCAAATGGATTGGGCGGATTTCAGTTGCTCCCATAAAATAAATACTGCTAAGACTTTATGGAAAACTTGAACCTGCTTGCAAGGTTCAAGATAAGAACAACCCTATTTCAAAATGATAATCACGATCGGGCCTATGGTGGCAAATCGTTTCTGCCCCATAGGTATGAGGGGGGAGGGGTGCATGTGTGATAGGATGTCAAATGTCATGGATGTAAAGTTTGAGAATAAATCTTAATGGCATAAAACATACATGTAGCCTTCAAGTTGCTTTGCAATTGTTCTTTCTGCCAGTGCACAGTAAAAAGTTTTGTGTCATCCAAACCAGTGAGGTTTCAAACTTCAGCCTGTGGAACCAGTTAGTTAACAATTTCCCAGAATCTTAAATTAGGAGGCAAAGTGCTAGAAAATTGGCTGTGTTTCTCTGATTTTTTTTCCTGTTAATTTCTCATGGAGTCCATTCAAGTTATCAGGAAACCCTGGGGACATTCCAGAAGACCATGTCAAGAAGTCTTATTATCTACTTTTCAGATAAATTCTTGCTGTATTACAGGATTGAATTTATGCTATTTACCTGTCTTTAATACAAAACTTCTGCTTCATCTGCTGTTTAAAAAAAGATAAAGCCGTGCTTTTCCATTATTTTATACTTAATTATGGGTGTTCATAAGTGACAGTTTTCCTGATATTTTTTCGTACATGGTTGACTATTTAATCCTAGGTTCAAATGTACCTGGAAAACAGTCATGAGGAAAAAGTGGTAGAACAAGAGTGTTATTTGTTTTTGCCCAGTTTCTAAATTGGAAATAGACTATCAGAACAATTCAGAATGGCAACCCACAGCACACAAAACAGACTGTGAGAAAGTATCCTGCCGTTGTGGGACTTAAAAGAGGGAACAGGATTGCTCTAAATAGTGAGAACATCTCAAATTTCATCAAAAATGTATTCATCCAACAATATTCTTTGACATTATATTTAACTAGGTTTATGTGGTTTGCTTAAATTTGACTTAGCACCACAGTCTCTGTGACTTGTAAGTAGTGGTTCATAGGTTATGTATTCAGTAACCAATTGATGGTTCCTCAAGGAGCTGAATTGCTTGCTTCTGACAGTCATTCTTTAGCATGAACTTGCTGTTTTAAACATGGTTTCAGGTTTCCAAGTGATGAAATCCATTAAAAAAAAAACCAAAGTCCATCTTCAAAAAAGATTTCTTTTATTTAGGAAAGCATCAGATTGGCAAAGTCTGTTGTAATTCTGGATCTGACACAATCCGGAATTACCCCACAATATTACAAGTTAGAAACAATCCCCAAAAGTCACATTCTCCAATAGAAGTAATTCAACATTGCTTGATGATATAAATATCCACCTCAAGGGGCCCAAACACGGACAGCTCATTTCTCACAGGAAGAATGATCACCTAGCCAAAACACTCTCTTTATCTCCACTCCTCCCCCACTTAGGAATGTGGCGAGCCCGAAACCCTTCCCCCATGATTGCCACAGAGAAAATAAGAAAAAGAATATATACTAAGCCTAACTAAAATGGCTACACTTATGTCAATTTCAGGCTTGATACATGATGCAAAGAAGTTATTTTGCTCCTGAACTCAGCCAAACCAACCTAGATCCTGGACTGGTCTCAAGTGACCACTTCATGCATAAAGGAAATAGTCAGCTTACTAGTCCAGCCCATTTTCATAAACATATTATGCATGTAAATATGTTTATTGTATTATTGTAACAGGACAAAGCTGTCAGGCTACCAAGTTATTACACCTATAATTACTGAAAGCTGTGAATTTGGTATATTATGTCATTAATTCTTCTCAAAACCTCTTAATGATAGTTTCATCTGAACTTGGAGAGGGTGCAAAACTTCTCATTAATACATCTAGGACAGACTATTGCAATGGGTTACGTATTTATCTGATAATTATTGTGCTAGTTAAATATAGTCAAGTTGCATCTGAAATATATTATGTCATTTTTACAGTATATACATTGGGTTTTTATCAAATATGAAACTGAAGGCATCAAACATGACTGACAACATATGGACAATGTTAAAATTATTAATAGGATTTTAAAAATGCCAATAATGTGAAAATGAAGCAGTCAGTGTCATAAATATTGACAAATTGGAAATACCCACAGTAACCACTTCATTCTAAGATTATAGGTTTTTTTGGAATAAGCTTTGAAATATCGGTGAGATTATAAATAAATAAACGTTCTCAGTTTGAGTGAGACAAAATCTGAAGGAATCTCAGAATGATTTTATTTGGGAAACAGGGTAAAGCTTGAGTATATATATATCAGCTTTTATCAGTTGTCAGTATAGCATATCCCACCAGCTCATCCAGCTTCCAGCCTCCTCCTTCCCTTCAGCTAGCACTGGTATCCTTGGTTTATTCCTGATCTTATCCTCTTATGCTCACTTATATATCTTCCTAGCATTTTCCTGCAAGTTCAGGGTCCACTTGTTTTGTATTAACCAAATGTTGATCCATTGATTGCAACAGGAATTTACTGATCAGCTTGACATTGTGGGCTGAGAGAATGTCCCAAAGTCACCCAGTTGGCTTTCATGCCTAAGGCACAACTAGAACTCACAATCTCCTGGTTTTTAGCCTGGTACCTTAACCAATAGACCAATTATTAACCCTAATCTTGACTTAAATAAATAGAGAGCATTATTGGTAATTACAGCTAATACTCAATGCTACAATGGTATATTATTCCTTCAAACTACAGTGTTGATTTTCAAAAGTAAGTGAAACACAGATTTTATTTCCAGAAGCCATGAATACTAACTGGGCAAACAGACAACAATTTGGCTTTAAAAAAGAGAAACCGTATGTCTATTTTTTACTTCAGTAAACAAAGGTCAAAAGTATCAGGCTGCATCTGAGAATATGCTAGAGTTATACGCAGTTTTTTGAAAATGTCATAGAGAAATGGAACAAGAGGTTATGAACTGATTTTGGCTAGTCTGAATTTACAGCTGTTCTGGAAATCTTTTTTATTATTATTACAAATATGCCGGTGTTTTCTTCTTGAAGAATTAAAACAAAGGAAATATACCAACATTTCTATACAGTTTCTATCCAGTTTGTCTGCCAAAGAGGCTCCTGTAAGAAGCATACAAACCTCCATAATTGTATAAAACCTGCCCTGAAGCTTGCAATTTAAAATGCATGAATCATACTGCAAGAAAAGGAATTGCATAGAGAAAAGCTATGAAGTTTGGGAATATAGATTCTCACTCGGTTGCTTAAAGTTTTCACTGCATGTATTATATGTCTGGACTGGCTTCCTTTTTCTTGACTTGAATTGTGGTCCTTTGTAATTCTTTGTTTCTCTTTCCTGTTATGGGAATAAATAGTAGATCTGGATGACAAAATGGTTAATGTTGATAATTAACATGTTAATAGGTTTTGCAAATATGGCTTTAGGATATATATGGTCTGATGAGCCTTAATTCTGTTACCAAAGTTATTGCCAAAGTTTCATATTGAAGGATTGATTGATATCTATCAACTATCATTTATATATGCCATCCAACTTCAAAGATATCTTGAAGCACAATTTATTTCAGTAATTTCTTCTATTGGGTCTCTATAAACCCTAAAAGTCCCATTCTTTTTGAACTCAACTGTTAATCCATAGTGAATGCTCTGCCATTTTGTTGAATGTTCCAGACACTGAAGATTATTTTATAATTTCTGTTGTCAATTGATAAATGCTGAGATTATAATTTTCCCAATTTCTTTTCAGATGCTTTGTCACTTGGTATTGCCACATGTATACTATATGTGTTTTTAAATATAATGTTTGGCATGTGGCATTCTAGATGTTCCATTAATTTTTTTACATGGTGGAGCCTTTTTTTAAACACATGATCATACCAATACTTTTGCACATGAAATCCATACTTTTTAAAATTCTAATGTATTTTTCCTATTCAACATTGTCTTGTTTTATCATCTGCCCAGACATTTTTTTTAACAACTATTTATTATATTGTCAATGGTCTCCCCACTCTGAGACAGATGAGTGGTTCAAAATGTGAGAAACAGATAAATAAATAGCTCTTATTCTCAGTTCTTTAAATTCTCATTTTTATAGCATTCAATGCCCATATTATTCTGTTAGTAACAATATGGAACTGGTCTGTCATGGTCTTTTTCAAAACATTTTTGGCTAATGGTCTCTCATCCAAGTACTAACTAGGCCTGGCCTGCTAAACCTTTAAATCTTTGGTGTTAATGTTTTTCATGGATTCATTACTCTGGTTTATTTCACATTATCTATACCTCTGTCTGAAGGTCTCCACCCCAACACTTTTACCAGGGGTGGCATAACCTTTGACAAAGAGCTAAACCAACCAATCTAGCCATCTGTCAAAACTTACTTTTTCTTGAGTTCCACCATACCTTAAGGAGAGCAACTAAGAAATGTTTTCCTTTGTGATATTTGCTGAAAATCAGTTAAAAAAGCTGTGGAAATTTACTAATAGGGGCAGCAAGTAGTATGTCAAAGGAGTTTTTGGCCAACTCATGCACAGGTGAATAGCTCTTTAAACCAGACCTTCAGGTAGAAGCCAAGTTATCGCATTGTTCATTGAAAAGTATAAAATTTCCAAAGAACATTTTGTTAAAACAACTTCCTTCTCAGAGCTTTTATTCAACAGCAAAGCAGCTCCTTCACCTATTAATAAAGATGAATCTTTACAACATAATCAAGCACTTTTAAGGATGCAGAAAATCTCCAG